CGAAAATTGCTTTGCTGCTTATTGCTTTACAAATAAATCCCAATATAACTTGAACCCTTTACCTAACCCAATTTAGGCCTAATATATATAACCCAATATATGAGAAAATACCGATTTCATTTACATTTTAACGTTAAAATTACGGAATGCGTCTAATGGGGTCGGTTGGTGGATGGACGAGCTAGGATGGTCTGAGGACAGGTTGCCCAAACTGTTACTGTCCGAACGGGAGGGTGGGGGTGGGGGGTTTCGTTAGTTGCTTGCATAAAGGAATTTGAGAATCACTTATCGGTGGCCTTTTCAAATTAATATGTCTTTTTAGTTTTTTTATCGAAAGTTTAAGATTAACTCAGATTTTTAATGCTATTAGTGTAAAATTAACAATAAAGAAGGCAGTTTGACAGCCATAAATGACTATTTCGACATCGAAGATTTACAAGTTGAATATCAAGATTAATGAATGATGAGAAATATGCCACAATCTCGTTCTCAACTGGGAGTGTTCGCTCTTTTCCAGTCATCATCATATCTCTCATTATCCTCATTATATTTCTCAATATCATCATAAGCTCTTTCGCTATCAACACCATCAGCTTTCTTACTATCATCACATCTCCCACTATCATCACCATCAGTTATCTCACTATCATCATAACCAGATCTCCCACCGCCATCGTTATCATCACCAGTTCTCTCGCTCTCAGCAGCATCATGGTTGAGTTACGGTAATTGAGCAGCTGGCCATCAGACAACGCACGTCAAGAGGGGCCGGTGGATTTCCACCATCGACACTCAGAGCAGAACAAGTATCCAATCAGACCCAAGGTGAGCGAGGCCTTCTACGCCCACTAGACACACCCCGTCTACACTATTCACTTCAAGATCTCATAAATCAAGAGCCGTTCTCGCTCCTCGTTCTTCAGCCTCCGCGAGGGCCTGGGCCTCCTTGGCAACATGCTACAAACTAACCATATAAGAAAAAATAGTAAACTCGTTAATAACCAAACCACACACCAAAAGATGAGGAGACGACGTTTCGGTCCGTTTTGGATCATTATCAAGTCGATTGGATGGACCGAAACGTCGTCGTCTCTTCATGTTCTGATGTGTGTGTGGTTTGGTCATCATATCTTCAGCCGCGTTATTGTCAATCGTCGTCTTCAGTTAACTCGTTACTTGTGCCATTTAAAGTTTTCCTGATACGGGTTAGTGTTCCTGCGTTATTCGCTGAAGTTTTTCTTTCAGTTGAAGGGCGAAGAGCAAGTCTCATAATACTGGTTCTACTTGTTCTATGATAGTTCTCATGCCTAGAAATATCAGAAGAAAACACTAAGCCGGGAAGACAAGTCAACCCCTGTTTCTCATATTCCAAGAGTTAAAAGCATCTTATCTAGATTATTTCTAGTAGCTTGTTAAGATAAAACATGTGGACTTATGTCCTAGCTAAGTCAGAGTTCGGAAGTGATGGACTAAAATGGACGTCCATAACTATCTAATTACAAAGGCACAATTTCCAGTGCTCGAGATATAAACTAAAAGCCTTAGTATATTCTATCAAAATGTTTCACTGTCGTGCGACGACGGACGTAAAAGAAGCTGTGTCTCTACCTGTTCTACGACAGAGTCTCGCGTCCAACTTCGCGTTGTCTCCGTGCAGCCACGAACTCCTGAAGACCGGGAGGCTCCTTCAGCTGGCAGGAGAGTCCACAACTGTCCACCCGCACACCGACTAAGCGACTGGCCGAGCCAGGGCGGCAAGAGCGCCACATCAAATCCTTCAAGGACCTTCCTGCGTTGTGGCTCCGCCCAGCCGCCAACCTAGCCTAGGATACCTCGGGGGTATCCTAAACGGGCTTGGCAACTAGGATTACAGGGGGGGGGGGGAGGACTGGAGGGAGGGAGAGTATTCTGCGGGTAGGGGAAGGGGTGGATATAAGAGAACAGATTGGATAACCCAGGGTTCGAACTTGTAGACAAGGATCTGTATAGCGGCTCACACGAGGAAAAGGAAATGTCGCGTCCTTCTTAGCTTCAATGATCTGGTGGTTTCTTAGTTTAAATTTTTCGATCGAGGCCTCACTACAGATCAGAAGCTTTCACTCTTTTTTATCACCTGATTCAGTAGCAATCCTGTCTACCTCCTCTCCTCACCCCACCTCCCACTATATAACCACTATACACCTTATTATCCACATACTTCCTAGTCACACACATTTCACTGACACACATACACATTCATCTCAACATACACAGCCTCCATCAATGACTAATCCTGCATGGGGATCTCAGTATACTTGTGATGTCAAGTAATAAACACAAGAGAAGAGGGCCCCAGCGTTAGCGAGGTGCTCAGCGAAAAGTGAGCCCCAGCGCTAACGAGGAGTTCAGCGAGAAGTGAGCCCTAGCGAGGAGCTCAGC